GGACCCCAACCCCTGATTGTTTGACATTTTAATTGTAATTCACAATTGCAACAAAAGGAAAAATCCCTTGCCTTAGTGAAGGATCCAGGATCTGGTAAGATACTGGGGCTTTATCCTTAGGTCACCTGATGTCACCTGGTGTCACCACTGAGTCAGGAACAAGAGTCAGGCGACACAAAATCTAACTCTCTCCAGGAGACTAATACTAATTTTATTAGGAACACATTTCTTTTTATACACTGCTCCAACACCGGTAGACCTGACTGGTCCTTTAATCAACACACCTCACATGATTGGCTAATTAAGGAAACACCCTTTATTAAACATCTTATAAGAAAACAACTGTTCAAAACACCAGCTGCAAGATTGCTTTAATTCTTTCTCTCAGCCTTCTCAAAACTCCCCAGAACAATACCTAGGAAAGTTTACCTGGCTTTCTCTCTGACCAGGCTGGGGTAGAGGTTTTGCTTGCATGTCCACAGAGAATGGTTCCAAGTGGATTCCAGCAAACAATGTGAAGGCGTTTTGAGATTCTTTGACTGCATCACTTGAAGATTCACCTTGGACATCAACATTGGAGGAGAACCCTTGTGAACAGGACCTCGCCACCACATCAGCACCTATTTAACCTCTAACAGACTTATGCCCTTGGGAAAATGGTTATGATTACCCAGTGGTATCAGGGCTTACAGGGCTAGATCAGCTTCTGGGGGATTGGAGACTTGGTGGATGGATAAGAAATTTAGTTAAAATAGGCTTATATGTATTAGGATTATATTATGTATTGTTATGCTTATTCCTTGTATTTTATATTGTGTGAAAAAATTAATAGACAAATCACTTAAGAATGTATTTTTGTTTGAACAGATAGGGGGAGGTATGGGGAATAAAACAGAGAGTACAGTGGAACTGATAAAGAGGCCTGATATCTTCTTCTTCTGCCTGATTGAGCAGAAACCATGGGAGAGACAGACACAGAGAAAGTCTCCCTGGGCAAGAAGTGACCAAGAAACATATTGTGAGACATAGTGATAAAATAATGTTACCAGGTGATGTGATGTCATAAAGAAGTGTAACCAATGGGAAATTGTTACCAAAAACAGAGCCCTATATAAGCACCATACAAGTGAAACTCTATATAATAAACACCTGGTACACTCAATAAAATTGGCTTCTGATCCCAACTCACATGCCCCCGACTCTCCATCATTGATAACCCCTGGTCTGGGTGATCCCTGTTGGGTGGGGGGAAAGTGTTGTAGAGATTTCTTTCCCCTCTCCTGCTGTGATTTGGATGGTAATAAATTCCCTCCCTGTACCCAGGCTGGGACTGTTTTGCCAGTGCTGGTGCTCGGGGCGGGATCTCTCCCGATCCTTTTCCTACTCCCGCCTTCCCTCAGCCAATCAGAGACAGCGCGGCTGATGACTCACCAGTTTCTGGGCAGACCCGCAGCAGCCAGCGGTCCCTGCCGGACCCCGCCCCGCCACGGCCCAAATCCTCCCAAATCCTCCCCAAATCCTCCCCGAATCCTCCCAAATCCTCCCTGCCCCATCACAGGGGGTCCTGTGCAAGGCCACGGGGCGGGGCTGCGGCCGCCGCTGGCTCAGGAGCTCTGTGGGCAGGAAAGGGGGTGACACTGGGACCGGGGGTACTCGCAGGGCTTCCCTTAATGGCGCCTCCTTTGGTGTTGGGTCAAGAGAGAGCTTCTGGAGAATCTCTCCCCACACACAGGACACTCACTGGGCCTCTCCCCGGTGTGGATGTGCCTGTGGGTGACGAGGCTGGAGTTGTGCTTGAAGCCCTTCCCACACTCAGGGCAGCAGAAGGGCCTCTCCTGTGTGTGAATCCACTGATGCACTGAAGCATAGACAGACGACTCCTCAACTAATTAAAGCTGGAAAGAAGGGTATTTTATTGCAGTGTTGGACACGTGGAATCATTTCCAAGTACATGTGCAAGGAGTTGCAGACTCCTGCTTTCTATTTATACAGAAAAGGTTTTACATATCTAAGCTGTTTCTAAGGACACATAATACATAATCATTACCTGCCCGCTTAGTATTATAATCAGCTGAATATCCATTACGGCTGTGCAATCGTGTTTCCTTAACTGGGTCTTTGGGATTTTGAAATAAGGGAGTGGGTGTAAGGGAGGAAGAAAGCTGTCTTCCTCAAGGTAAACTCTTCACCCATGGCCAGTTTGCAGGACTTTTTGATCTGCTGGTCACGGTAGCCTCTCCTAACTGCTGATTATTCTTAAGGCAAGATATTTCTATTTTCTCTGCTCCTTCACAATTCCTACATCTATCCCTGTCACTCCTAA